GGGCACGCAAACATTTTGGCCGCAGACCTTGGACATTCCAACAGGACTCAGCACCATAGCACTCAGCACGCGCCACCCAAGAATGGTTACAAAATGAGGTTCCTCGATTCATCGAAGGCCATAATTCGTGCCAAAAGTGACCAATTCGAACAAATCTAAACTTATTCTAAAATTTGAACCTATTTTCGACATTTTTCATCAATGAGATAAACAATTAAATACTCACAAGTCAAACGACTGGAGTCATCTAAAATTCCCAAACTCCCTGTCATAAAATATGAAATCATGCTTAGAGCGCTGATTAAACCATGGCTTCCGGACATTGGTATTTTCATTAACGTGAAACGTTAAATAAAGTAGTCAAAAGCAAATGTCTCCGCAACGAATGGGTTAATGTAACAAATGCATTATTGCAATAACTTCGAAATGACCAACAATCACATAAATGTATCATATCTCTTTTGTTCTCTTATTACAGCAAAGCGCAGATCATTGACCTCTCCTTGAATGATATACTCGGATTAGCACCTTCAATGTTTATATCCTCAGAATAATATTTTACATATAAATTTAGAACGGAATTCAATGATTAAACTCACCAAATAATTTTGTTCTTGTTTTAAAGTTCCATCAAAATATTTGTTTGTTACATGTTCTTAATCTGCAACATTCACGTGTAACTTCTATACGGCCAATAATTAATTGTACATTTTTTTAAATTTCTGCATATTTGGTTTAACAAATTTTTAGGCCTTGATTGTAATTACAAAATCCATTTACAAATATTCAAAATGACAACTTTTTAACCATACGTTGATTAAAAAATATTTTAATTTTTACAGTGAATATTTGTCAAATGATTAAAAAATGTTAAAAAGTCTGGTTGATATTTTTGGAGAGCTTATTCCGAGTAGTATTCAACCTTAAACCTCTGGATATCCTTGGGAAATCCTTCAAGTCATCATTTCAACCAAAAAATATCTTTTATTGCAGAATCACCTTTTTTAAGTGAATGGATGACCATATTTCTGAAACTCACAGCATTCCCCAGACATATTTATACATACATATATATAAATGTAATCCGACCCACAAATTTCCGAAATTACCCTATTAGGCTGAAAAGGTACACAAGAGCATATACCGCGTTGCATGAGAAGAAGGACTTAAATAAATCATTTTGTCAGCCAATTTTCAAGAAGATCTACATGGGTTTTTAGATTTCCGGTCGGTATCATAGGATCCTTATCTATACTAATGAAAGCAGTATCATCAGGAAACGTTCAGGTGACAGTTTCATTGGTTGTGGGCATATTGGCAGTAAATAAAACGTACAGAATCGGACTTAAGATACTACCCTGTTGGACACGAATTTGAAAGTACGTCATTCGATGTAACGACAAATGTGGAATGTGTGTTGTTAGGTAGAGCTTCGCAAATATTGTATAGAACTCCTAGATGCCAAACTCTATCAATGGCCTGGGAAATGTCTATAAATAACGCGGATCAATATTTCTTCCTTTCAAATGCCATTCTTATGTTTGTAACTAGGCGGTACAATTGCTCAATAGTACTAAATTGGTAGTCGGGAATAATATTGCTAGATGTAATATTGGGCGTTAAATTTCTTGACCTCGGTTAAAAGATCCAGGTTTCGGAATTATTACAGTTTCAAATTCTTTCCATACACGCGGGAAGTACTCTACTCAAAGAATGCTGTTAAATTTGAATAACAAAAGTTCAACGGCCGTAGTTGGTAATTTCTTGAGCGTGTTCGGAATAATTTGATCTTTACAAGGGGATTTTTATAGTTACGTCGAGGGTATAGAACTTTCGATTTCTTTTAGAGAAAATCGTATTGGGTTCGGTACAATGTCGTCAATAAGATGTTAAGCAACTGTCGATGGTCCGGGATTCGGGGTGTAAATACAGATTCAAGGTGCTTGGCAAATGTGTTTACTTTTTCTTCTGTTGCTTTTGCCTATAACAACTGTAGATAAAAAAAAAACAATAAGCCTTAAGGGCTAAGTACATAAGACGCTTGAAGTCATGGCTGGGCATATTAATGTCAAATTATAATGGAAAACGACGGCTGGATTTTAGTGCGGCTCTGTAATCCTTTTGTGAAATGTCAAAAAATATGCCTAGCCATGACTTCAAGCTTCTTATGTTCTTACACCCTTATACTGTTTGGAAATTGCCTTAATTATTGTTTTAATTTATGGCTATATCTTGCTCGGAATTAAATTTGTGGCACAAATGTCCTCGATCAATACACACTTATAGTATTTTGTCATTCCGTTGCTGATTAAATATCCACATGACCTCGCTTAGTCTTTCATTCAGTAACCTAACCTAATTTTGGTTATTGTCTATTAATGCGGTTTTCAAAATGCCGGTGGAACCTTTATATGGCCACGATATCACAAGGATTGTTACCTGTTGCGATTATTAGATAACATATTTGAAACAATTCCGTGCAAAAATTTGGCTAGAATCATCAAAATATCGAATATGAGCTTGCGGACGAATTGCAAATACAGAATTTTAAACAAATCGGCAAAATATCGAATATCTGGATGTACTGTTATATGGGGCTGTAGAAAAACTTGGACCTAAATAGATAATTTTATGATACAGGAGGTAAAAACCCAAATACAAATATCAATTTTACGATTCTAGACAAGTCTGTTAGAAAATGTTGCTAAGTCCTAAAAATACCGAATATCCGAAGGTACTATATTAAAACGTGGACCTATATGAACAATGTTATATCACTGAAGTCAGGGTAGCTATATGACATCATCATGCTTGACACTTGTGCAGCTCATCGTCAAATAATGAGGACTGTATCTGGATTTCAACAGACAGACAAACGGGCTTGGAATTTTATGCCACCCTACCCATCTACCAAACCTTCTTAAATACCAAATTTGAAAGAATTTTGTAAATGAGACTAGGATTATGAAAATACCGAGTATCGATGGGCATCGTTATATATGCGCTATAGGGAAACGTGGACCTAATTTCAATGTTCTGCCGGCGAAGCTAGAACCCATTATGAACTACCAATTTTGAGACAAATCCGTGGGGAAATATGGCAAAAATCATCAAAGTACTGTATATCCGGATGTACCATTAGGTAGGGGCTATACGAAAACGTGGACCTATACATACTATGTTTCGCCACAGGAGCTGGAACCCATTTCGAATTACAAATACCAATTTTTGAAAAAAAATCCGTGAAAAAATGTGGCAAATATTAATAAAACACCAACTATCGGGAGGTACCGTCATATGGGAGCTATACCAAAACGTGGACCATGTCCCGCCACTGGAGCTAGAACCCATTATGACCTAAAAATACCAATTTTTACATAAAACCGTGAAAAAATGTATGGAAAATCATCAAAATACCGAATATCGGGAGGTACTGTTACATACCGGCTATTCCAAAACGTGGACCGATATGTCTCATTTTCAATGCCAACCATCCTAGACACAATACAAATTGTTCTGCCAAATTTTTAAGCTCTACGTCAAATAATATGGTCTGGATCCTGATTTCAACAGACAGACAGGCAGACGAAAATCGTCTTAATGGGGTATACGATGAATTTTTAGGGATGTTACAAACAGAATGACAAAGTTAATTTAACCTCATTTTCAAGGTGGAGGGTATAAAAAGTAAAATGCCATGAAGTTGATGGCACCAGTTTCCTGATGTTGTAGTTGTTATCTATTGCTAGTTTCAAATTCCAATTTTGTAGCTAAAATCATGAAAGTACCTTATATTCAGAGGTATCTGTAACAGAAGATGGAACCCGTTACAAAATCTCTGTCCCGAACTTTAAACATTTCCGCTTGAAAACGCGGCTCAAAATTGTCCTAATACCGAATATAGAGGGCACTACTGACAAAATACATATGTCCCTAATTTTAACTTTCTAGCTCAATTCGTTCGAAAGAATCCGTGATTACATCTGTGGTGAAGCTAACATGAATAGTTAGGAGTTAGGAGTTAAAAACGGAATCACATAATATATCCTCTCCAATATGGTGGAGGGTATAAATAGAAAATTACACTTCAAAAAGCAACTGTTATTGGTTGAATATTATCTGAAAAGTCTTATGCTCAACTTTCCAAATGTTATCATTCAAAATTTTAAAACTCTAACACAATATGGGATATAAAAAATAAGACAAATATTTGGATTAAATTATAAAATAATAAACAGTTTGCAAAATAGATGCATAACAATAATACACAAATATTGTCAAAATAAACAAAAACTTTAAAACAAAATCATTATCGTTTTGTGGAATGTTTAACTTGAGACACATACCGATGTCTCCATTGGCCGAGACATAGCTTATTGGTCTTTACATAAACACAAATAATCGAAACGAAAAAACTGACTACAGTAAAGTAGAAAAACAAGTACCAGTTTTTTGTTTCTGTTGTTGTGGTATGCTTTTACGTGGGTGTCTGTCCGTCCATGCCACACAAAACATCCCTATGTACGACGTTTGTAGTGCACTCCAAAACAGATACTAGAAAATATGTAAACAATAGCCAGAGGCGAAAGATGAAAACAACAACAAAAACAAAACATTGGAATTGTTTGGGAGGAGGATACGAAATACTCTGCCGTCTTGGTATGGCGGTGGTGTTGTCTACCTCCAACACATCATTTTCATTATTTTGGGTACATGCGTACGCCGCCAACACTTTCCCAATAACGGCAGAATGCCAAAAACGGAATTGAGTGAATAAATGTTGAAATAATGTTATCACAACCATTCCAACCGGTCATTAAAAGACAAATTCCAAGCAACCACCGGAAGGGTACGGTCTCTTTTCTATTGCATGGCCAAGAGAAACATGACACTGTTTGTAGGAAAAAACAATCCACATACACACAATTTCAACGTCTGCAGAAATGACAAAGAAAACGTGCAAGAATGTAAACAACAAAAGAGACGACACAAAAACTTACCAACAGAGTAAATGTGGAACATAAATTGCAGCAATACACGATTCTAAAGGCTGAACCCACAATGCTAGGCTCCCAAACGTAAGGATTGGGGAAGATGAAAACTGTTTTGATTTGTTTTGCTCAAATGTCAGAAGTTGCAAAAGGAAACTTTTTAATTTATAAAAGTGTTTCTCTTTGCACAATTTCCACTTTGTCTGGCAGTATTTCGCTTTTCTCTCTATTCTCTTTTCTTTTCTGTAGTGCTTTACGTTTTATTCAATTCTATTTTTACAACTTTCCACATTTCAATTGCCACAGACTTGCAATTTTCAACTTCATTCACTAAAAACACAAGAGGGGGCTTATCTTTCTCTCTCCTCTCCGCTCACAAGCTCCCCTTTACAAATTCATCTTTTTTCACTATTCTCTTTTCAATGACATTTCACGTGCCGTGTTTGCTTGCAATGCAAAATAACGTAGCAACAACAACATACAATGTAAACAATTCGCAATTATCATGTGTTTTGGCTGGGGAGGCACAGGTTAAAGTAAATCTGGAAATTGATTTCTCGCAGACTCCAAATTTCCAAACAGAATTTACGTCATTTGGAGAATTTGTTTTTGTTTACACTAAAAACATTCACTCACTGCAGCGCCACAAAACAACAACATAAGAGAACAAGAAATAGACAGACGTTGGAAACGATACAAAACAAAACACAACTTACATACACATTCACACATAACAAGAGTAATAATTTTCGGAGACTATTAAAATCGAATCTTTACTGGATTAAACATTTGTTTGATTTAAATTATAGGCCGATACAGACGGTCAATAGTAAACAATTTTTTTGCATTTCACTTGAGTGAATCCATTCAAAGCAGAACACTACTTCTAATAAGACGACGACTATACGTCATTTTTTGTTTCCAGCTTTTCCTTTTCATTACTTCTTTCTCATTTCACTTTTGCACATATTATTTGTAGACCATTATCATTATTAACACGGTGAGAACGGCTCAATATATAACGTGAATTTTTCTAAACAACACGCCAATAATTATTACTTAATTTTCTCTTAATTATTGTTGTTTATTAAAATTATTTACTTTTTTGTGAAAGTAATTTTTTTCTTACAATGTACTCTGTCTACGTTCCCGTCGCCAAAACATTCCTCACGCACGGCACGGTCGACAAATGAATAATGCCCCAAATAATATTATTTAAAGCCGTTAAAAAGAAACCATAAGGCGGCAACAATTACCTCATGAAACAACGCCGTTATCGTGGCGGCTCATACCATTTGAACAAATATCTCTCAATGAGTAACATGCGCTCACTTTTGCTTGAAATACCCCAACAACAAAAATCAAAATATTGCATCAGGGCTGCCATTTTTGCCAATTTATCGGCATTTTTATGATTTTCCACTCTAAAAGTGGGAAATGCCGATTTGCTGACTTTTGCCATAGACAAATAAAGGTATAGACTAAAAAGTTCTCTCATCTGTTATCTTCAAAAAAAGTGCTTCAATATATGTCGTTCATGCATTGAGAGAGGTTCAGTAGACTCACTCAATTCTCTCAAAATACAAAACATTAAATATTTTTATGATTCTTTATTATTTGTCAATTAAAAACGAAACATTGACTTTGTTTACTTTTACATTATCCAAATATGTCGTGAAATATACAAATATAGAACTTAAATAGCAGAAAAATTAATTTTTTCGAAGTCGAGTGACTTCACTAGCCCTGATTGACTTGACTGGCCCAAGATCAACATTAGTGACATCTGCCGGAAGGGGAAATTTTAAAACTTTTTAGTCTATACCTTTATTTGGAGGGCTCACTGCTATACCGAACCAAGTCATGAAAAATAAAAAATGCCGAAACTAGTGCCAATGTCCCCGCATATGGCAACTCTGTTTACTCTGTAAAGCACAATGTTAAAAAGTGTTTCGTTCCAAAGATAACGTTAAAAAACCTAAGTCCACGACTGTCATTTTCGTTTTTATTCAAAGCAAAAATGAACCAAGTCAGTGTGTTTCACTTTGAATCAGCGTATATATAGATATCAGCAATGATTCAATGTCGATTTAGTGATGTCCATCCATCTGTCTGTCCATCTGTGGAAATCACTCTTGCTTCCGAGGCGTTTGTAGTAGGTTGATAAAATTTACTCAGATGTGTGTTTGGTCTACAGGGCTTTTGGTATTGGAAATGATCGGTATTTTGATGATTTTAATGACATTATTCACCAATTTTTTTCATATTTCGTATTCGGTATTATGATGTTTTTGCGATATTATTTACCGGATTTTTTCAAGTTTCCTATTTGAATATTGTAATGGACTATGACAAAACTTGGCTGTGCAGGTCCACATTTTCGTATATACCCCCATATTACGATAACTCTCTATATTCGGTATTTTAATGATTTTTAAAAGTATTTTTTAATATCCAAATCCTTTCCAAATGGTAGAGGGTATTCAAAGCTCGGCCCGACCGAACTTACTGCTTTTTTATTTGATATTATTTTTCCTAATACACATTAAATATTAGTATGGGCACAATTACAAGAAAATCGTACATTATTCCATATTCATCTCATGTTTCTGGTTGAGAGAAATATTTAGATATAGCATAAATAATCATCGACTTGTTTCGCAAGTTATGACAGATAAAGGCATTGAAAATTGTGACCCCTTGTGGGTGATGCACCGGAAGGGGTTCGCAGATTTATTCCATCTTCACAACAAATATTGTGTTAGCGAAAATGTTTGTATGTGTGAAATCTAAAGGGAGTTGGATGATTATTTCGTTTTCTTTCAGTTTTGTTTTTCAAAATCTTGAACCCTGTGTGGGAAGGTACCAGAAGAAATGGTCCGATCTCTACCATCTTTATAACAGATCTTGTGTTGAAGGAAATTTTTAAATGTACCCAATCTGAATGAAATCGAATAATATCGCGTCTTATGAGCTTCATGGATATTCAAAATGTTGACCCTTTGTGGGGATGATACCAGAGGTAGTGGAGCGATATATTCCATATTCACAGCAGAGCGTGGGTTAATAAAAATATTCTGATCTGTGTAATTTGAACACAATCGGAAAATTTCATCACATTTTATAAGAGTTATAATTATTCAACATTTTTACCCTTTGTGGGGGAGGTACTTGTTGGAATGGACCACTGGAGCACTGACCGAATAAGGATAACTTTCGTATATGTGATGAACTTAACATGAAAATAAAATTCGATGAAGACGAAAATACAAATTTAATTTGGCAAAAGGAACTTCACATAAAAGCAGCACAGCTAGCTCGAGACTCACTGAATACAGAAGTGCCATCTGATGAGCACTATTTCTGTACTTTCGACATTCAAAAAGCATTGCCTTTTCCAAAGCTATCAACATCAGTTGCTTATTACAAGCGGAACATCAACTATATTTAGTAATAAAATGAACAATTTATTTATTTTTTTGACTTGGTTCGCTTTAGCTGTAAAACCTTCAAATTTTATTCAGAGTAATAACGAACCAAAGCAGGTTTTTTGTTTTTGAATATTTTTTTAGTAATATATTTAAATTATTTTTCTTTTAACTTTATATCATTAGTTAATTTTGAATATAGACTTTTACATTTTCTTTTGGTAGACTAAAATATTGCTTCCAGAAATTAATTGCAGTACATTTACTTTACCTCTAAATATCTTGGAATTATGTTTTTATGACTTAGTTCGGTATAGCTGTGAGCCCTTCATTTGTCTATGCTTTTTCCTCAAAAATGACGATACTTTAACGATCGACACAAATTGTTTCACATTTTATTTTAAGACATTTTTGAAATATGTTCTCAATGTTACTAATATCACTTACAAATAATTTAAAAAATGAAACTAAATTCATAATTTACTCAACCACATGGAGTTACTTTTTAGAAGGGTTTTCAGTGATATCAGAAAATATGACGTCATAAGAGATAATATTAATTTAACTGACTTGCACAAGAAAAATTTAAATATGATAAAGTTTATTTCTGTTTATACGCAAAAGATATTATTTGCTAAACAAAACTTTACAAGCATTAGTTGAACAAAATATTTGCACTTACAATAATTGCTTTATTCCAGAACCTGCAAGAATTTAATAGTTTTGCAATTTTCTTCGATATCATAAAGGGGAAATCGTTTTACATTCTTGCAATTCTGGAACAGACCAATTCTTTGTTGGATATTTTTAAAGATTTACCCACATTTATTTTAGAAAAAATAGGACGATGTTTATATCCGAGTTTAGAGATAGTGCTTTAATCAAAATGTCTAATAAAAATATGCACTAATTGCAACGTAATTAGAGTTGAGTAGAAAATATGACTATACACAGACATAACTACCTGATAAACTATTAAAAAATTACTCGTTTCGGGAAAATCTCCTACCACGTAGTGATGTGCACGTAGGATTATTCTTCAATGCCCTAATAAATACTTTATGTTATACATAAATCTTATAGATCTCATTATAGATAGAATTTGAATTATTAAATAAAAAAAATAAATAAAAGTCTGTACATAATAATTATCTGTACACAATAATTGTTCCTACAAAAACCTTATAGTTTCGCTATTTTCTCGATATCGTAGAGGGAAAAACGGTTATCGTTCTAAAAACTTTCCGTCCAGGAACAGGCCGACTATTAATTTTTACGGTTTTTAATCTAATATGTATACTATACTATTTTTATTGAAATGCATACTTGTGCATATTCACTTTCTGTTGTTTAGATTGAATAATCACTTTTGTATTGTAATAAACAAAAAATACAATTTAATTTAATGAATTATGCGTTGCCGATTTACACATATATAAATGCGTTTTTTTTTTGTGAAAAATTTACGATTTTTCTTGAAATTTTATTGGCAGCCCTCACTTAAAGCCCAACGACAACAACAAAAAGGCATCCCGAAATTTCTCGCAGGCACGGAGAACTTTTCTGGACGTTTTCTTCCTTATGAAACCATATATATTCAATATTGGCCTTTTAGAATATTTAAAAGAGTACAAAGCAGCATTTTGCATTACATATTTTGTTAATTTTGTGTGGAAAATTGATAATTATTCAAAGATAAAAATACCCTACAAATTTCATCTTGAGCGCTCAGTTTCAATCAAAAATATTATATGGCTATCTCTTTTCTTCTAAACTACTTCATCTTCCTTTAAAAATGCTGAAATCGAAGTGTGCGACTAATATCGAATGATTTATCAAATGGTTACAGTTTTGCTGATTCCTCTTTGGACAATCTTTCGTGGCAGCATTAATCTCTTGTCCGCTTTTAAAACATTTACTGAGTTGGCACCACTTTTTAGTATGGGGTAGTGTCGGGTGAAATTATTGTCGCCGAAATAAAAAAGAATGCTGAACTTTGTGGTCTGATTGTAGTGAGATGATTACTCTCTTTGTCTCTCATTTTTGCGACACACAAACAGTGTTGCCAGAAACCAATGAAAATATAGACATAGACAAATGAAAATAAAGGCAACGAAAAGTAATTTTTCGGTTCAGTTCAACACAGTTTTGCATAGTCAAATTGTTGATTTACGCGGCCAACCTACTCAACTTTGAAAACACATTTCATCGTTTTTCATGAATTTCACTTGGTTATTCCCGTATTTTTCGATGTCATCACGTAGTTTTAATTTATCTTTTATTATGGAACAATAAGAACAAATATCCCACAATTCATAATATTTTTAACATTTTAGAATTGAGTGACTTCAATATTCCTACTCAAAATCCTGAAACGATGTAGACAACATCTGCCATAGACAAATGAAAATATAGACAACGAAAAGTATTTCACTTGATTATTCCGGATTTTTTCGATGTCATGACGTACTTTTCACATTTATTTTATAATGGAACAATTTTCAACGGACAAATATCCTACAGTTTTTGTTATTTTTAACTTTTTAGACTTGAGTGAATTAAATATTCCCACTCAAACCCTAAAACAATATAGACGACATCTGCTGATTCGACAAAGACAAATGGAGATATAGACCATAGACAAATAAAGGTATAGACTAAAAACTTTTAAAATTTCCCCTTCCGGCAGGTGTCACTATTGTTGATCTTGGGCCAGTCAAGTCACTCAGTGCTAGTGAAGTCACTCAACTTCGAAA